AAGTTTATGCAAATAAGATGCTAATGAGGGACAGCGACGGTGCCTGGACAGGTTTTGGGATCATTAGCGAGAAATATGCAAATGAGATGCTAATAAAGCGCGGGCTAACGAGTCCAGAGAGTTCTGGGGGGAATTCGGGGGAAAATTGGGAATTCTGGGGTTAATTATGCAAATTAGGGGTTAATTAGGGAGGTAATTAAGGAGTTACCGAGGTAAATTTCTGCTTCAGGGAAAGACTTTGAAAGTGCTTATGCAAATGAGATGCTAATGACAAGCGCTGTTATGCAAATCAGATGTTAACGAGTGACGCAATAACGCGCTTGAAAATCATTTGGTGAGCTCATGCAAATCAGATGCTAATAAGCACGATTATGCAAATTAGATGCTAATAAGAAGCACTGCTGGATTTTTCTTGAGGTACTTTCTTGAAGTTATGCAAATGAGATGCAAATTAAGCACTAATGAGGGGCGTGACTGAACTCTTCAAAGCAGTCTTGGTGAATTTATGCAAATAAGATGCTAATGGGAAACTAATTTATGCAAATTAGACACTGATTACAATTACGATGAGGGTTTAAAAGAGAGTTTGCCGGATTTATGCAAATGAGATGCTAATGACAAACAGCGAGGCTGCCTTGAGGGATTACGGAATCATTAACAGCGATTATGCAAATGAGATGCTAATGAGGCAGGAGCTAAAGAGTCCGGGGAGTTTTGGGGGGAATTTGGGATCCCAAAAATTCTTTGGGAAAGGGGGGAGGGGCTTCCGAAAAATCCCCCGGGGCGATTATGCAAATTAGGCGCTAATGAGGGGGATCATGGAGGGAGGCAAACAAAACTTATGCAAATTAGATGCTAAGGTGCAAGGTTATGTAAATGACATGCTAATTTTGAGGGCATTTGGGGCAGATTTTGAGAATTGTTTGAGATTAATTTGCCAGGTTTTAGAGAGCGCTCATGCAAATGAGATGCAAATGAGAATGCAAAAAAAATTTTTGGGAAAGGTTTTGGGGGAATTTTGAGGAAATTTCAGAAAATTTTAGGAAAAAGTTTTGAAATTGTTTTAGGGATTAGGAAATTCTCAGCAAAATTTAAATATTTTTATGCAAATGAGATGCAAATGAGGTAGAAATGAGGAGTTTGGGGAGGGTTTTGAGAGGATTTGGGGGAAATTTTGAGGAAATTTGGGGCAATTTCATGGAAAATTTGTGGAATTGTTCTCGGAATTAAGAAAGTCTTAGCAAACTTTAAAACATATTCATGCAAATGAGATGCAAATGAGATGCAAATGAGAATAAAAGTTTGTTGCGAGGGGTTTTGAGAGGATTTGAGGGAAATTTCGGGGGAATTTGGGGCAATTTTAGGGAAAAATTTGTTAATTGTTTTAGGAGCTATAAAAGTCTTTGCGAGGTTTTAAAGCGTGCTCATGCAAATGAGATGCAAATGAGAATGAAAACTGCGCTCTGGAAAGAGATTGGACGGGAATTGGGGGAATTTCGAGGAAATTTCAGAAGATTTCAGGAAAAATTTTTGGAATTGTTTCAGGAACCAGGAAATTCTCAGTAAAATTTAGAAAGCTGTATGCAAATGAGATGCAAATGAGAATGAAAAGGGGCAATTGTGGGAAAAATTCCTGGAATTGTTTTTAGAGACTAAAAAACCTTTTAAAGAGAATTTATGCAAATGAGATGCAAATGATATGCAAACAAAAAGGAAAGAATTATTTCAGGAACGGTTTTGAGGCCGTTTGGTGGAAATTTTTAGGAAATTCAGGGCAATTTTAGGCAAAAAAATTCTGGAATCGTTTCAAGGACCGGAAAAGCTTTTAAAGAGTGCCCATGCAAATGAGATGCAAATAAGATGCAAATGAGAACAGAAATAAAAAGTTTTGAGAAAGGATTGGGCAGGATTTGGGGAAAATTTTGAGGAAATTTGGGGCAATTGTGGGAAAAATTCCTGGAATTGTTTCTAGAGGGTAAGATTTTTTTAAAAGAGCGCTTATGCAAATGAGATGCAAATGAGAAAAAAATAAAAAGTTTTGAGGAAGGGTTGCACAGAATTTGGGGGAAATTTTGAGGAAATTCGGGGCAATTTTAGGCAAAAAAATTTTCTGGAATCGTTTCAAGGATCGGAAAAGCTTTTAAAGAGCATTCATGCAAATGAGATGCAAATGAGATGCAAACTAAGGGAAAGAATTGTTTTAGCAGCAATTTTGAGGCCGTTTGGTGGAAATTTTGAAGAAATTTGGGGAATTTAAGGGAAAATTTGTGGAACTATTTGAAAGATCAGGAAGAGCTTTTAAAGAGTGTCCATGCAAATGAGATGCAAATGAGATGCAAATGAGAATGAAAATTGCTCTTTGGAAAGGGATTGGAGAGGATCTGGGGGAATTCCGGGAAGATTCCAGAAAATTTTAGGAAAAACCTTCGGAATTGTTTCAAGGACGGGGAAAAGCTTTTAAAGCGCGTCCATGCAAATGAGATGCAAACGAGGGGGCGTGGCTTACAGGGCAGCCGGGCCTGCATGTCCGGGGCCAGCAGGAGCCGCTGGGGCAGCGCGAAGGCGGCCACAGGCGGGGCGGGCGCCGGCCCCGCCCCCTTGCCCATATTTGGCGTGGGCGTGGCCGCGGGGGCGGGGCCTCCTGTGGGAGTGGGCGTGGCCAAGGAGGCGGCGGGGAGAGCTGGGGAGGGAAGGAAACAAAACAAGCCACGCCCTCCTCATTTAAATACAGGAAGCTCCACCCCTAATTAGGCCCCACCCCTCCTTTTAAGTCACAGGCCTAATTAAACTCGTGTTAATTAAACCCTGGCTAATTAAGCCTCAACTAATTAATCCCCACCAGCCTCACCCCTTCCTAATTAAGCTCCTCCCCAATTAAGCGTCAGCCATTAAGCCTCGCCCAAATTTAATCCAGGTCCCTAATTAACCCCACCCCTAATTAACCTCACCTTTAATTAAGCCCTTCCCCTAATTAATGCCACAATTAAGCCCCGCCCCAATTAAGCCATCCTCATTAAGCCTCTCCCCCAATAATTAACTCTGACTCCTAATTAATCCTCTCAATTAAATCCCACTCCTAATTAACCCAATCTCAATTAACCTCCACCTCAATTAATTGATTTTTAATTAACCCTTAATCCTAATTAATTCCTCCCTTAATTAACCCCCACTAATTAACCCCACCACTAATTAACTTCCACCCCTAATTAAGCCCATCCCAATTAACGCCCACCCACAATTAACCCCACCCCCAATTAACCCCACCATTAATTAGCCCCGCCCCCTTAAGCCCCGCCCCCTCACCATGCGCGGGCCCTCCGGGGGGCGGAGCCAGCAGCGTGGGCGTGGCCCGGGGCGGGGCCAGCGCCAACCCCAGCCCCAGGTTCAGCCCCGCCCCCTGCGTCGTCACCAAGGGGGCGGGGCCGGCGCTGGGGGGCGGAGCCTGCGCGTGGCCCAAGGTGACGAGGGGCGGGGCCACCAGCAGGGGGGCGGGGTTCGGCGCGGTGCCCAGGTGTGCCCAAACCTCCTCCCAGGTGTGCTCAGGTGTGCCCAATCCTCCTCCCAGGTGCCCCCGGGAATGCCCAGGTGTGTCCAAGCCCTCGCCCAGCTGTCCCCAGGTGTGCCCAGGTGCCCCCAGGTATCCCCAACACCACCCCAGGTGTGCCCAACTCTCCTCCAGCAGTGCCCAGGCGTGCCCAAATCCCTCCCAGCAGTGCCCAGGTGTGCCCAACCTGCTCCCAGGTGTGCCCAACCCCCACCCCAGGTGTCCCCAGCCCTGCCCAGGTGTGCCCAAACTGCTCTCAGCAATGTCCAGGTGTGCCCAGCTGTGCCAACCCCCCTCCCCCACAGCCGTACCCAGGAGTGGCCAACCCCTCCCAGGTGTGCCCAGGTGCCCCCAGGGAGCCCCCCAACCCCCCCCCGAGACGGGTTTGGGGCGCGGGGGGGGCTCGGGGGCGGCGGCCACGTCCTCCAGGAGGCGCCGCGTGACGCGGAAGCGCGGCAGGAACCAATCGGCCGCGTAGCGCGACAGGTGCGACTCCAGCGCCACCAGC